AATTTTGTGACAAAGAAAACATCAGTCCAAATTATTTCACCAAAATCATTATATAAGAGCTGATTCTTATTTTTATACAAACTAAGAGAAAGAGAGATAGTAAATGGAATCAACGAGGTTAAAAAGCAAAGATTAAAATACGTACAACGACAATATTCATTAAACATCACTTTTTTTTTTTTTTTTCTTCAGGACACACTATGTGCTAAACCCTGTTCTGTGTGCTTGGAATTCAACAATGAACAAAAGTCACAGAGAACCTTTGCCTCTCATGGGATTAATAGTCAAGTGTAGAGTAATATTGACAACAAATATGATAAATATATAATATAAATATAATAGATGTTTTAAATGATACATTAGAAAGTAATAAATGCTATAGAGAAAATGAAAAAAAAATGGAGCACTAATGGGTGTTAGAAATTCTGTGTTTCTGTGTGTGTATGTGTGTAGGGTAGTTCAATGTGGTCATTGTTAAAACTTAAAGGAAGTAGCTATGCTCCCTGCTAGAGCAGGAAGGAGAAACAGCAAATGCAAACCTCAAGTGGGGGTGTGCCAGGCATGCTTGAAGAAGTGCAAGAAGGCCATTGTTGTGGAATAAAGTTACCAAAAAGAGAAGAATGAGAGATGAAGTCAGAAATGCAGCAAGAGTTGAATCCTGGGAGAACTTGTAGGCTAGGCCAATGAATAGATTTGGGCTTTTACTATGAATCAAATTGAGAAACACTGGAGATTTTGAACAGAAGCATGATGAGGGAAGCTTTCTGGCTTCCGTGTTTCTGTAAAACTCAAGGAGATCAAAGGAAGAAGTAGGGAATCCGTTAATTGGGTACTGAAAAGTGAGAGTAAGTCAGATTCAGATATACATCGAAGGTAAGGCAAATAGAATAAATAATCTGTAAAGCTGATTCACTTGTGTTCACAGTTCTAAGTTTCTAAGTACATGAAAAGTAATCCAGCATTGTATAAAAAAATTTATCATGGACAAAAATTTCCCAAGTTAGGTGAAATACATACATTTACAGATCAAAGAAGCTCAGGAAAAGCAGGAAATATCTTAAGATAAGCACACCTACATCAGATGATCTGTGTACATCTACTGGACAGTATGGGAAGGGAACCACTAATCTGTGGAATGAGGCAACAAGTCTGCAGTGCAGCTGGCAGCCGAGTGCTAAGCCCTGTGACTCAAAGTGTGGTCTGAGGACCAGCAGCACCTGCACCCCCCAGTTGGAAATGTAGAATCTCACACCTACAAGGACTTAATCAAATAAAATAGGTATACAAACAAGACCCTTGAATGTTCTGGGGTGCAATAAATTCTGAGAAGCATTAAGACACCTGAGCTCACTGCAGTCCTTGAATGGCTGGGTTAAGGCTGTAATTAAAGGAGTCTTCCTAGTCCTAAATCCTCCACTTAACCAAGCAGACTTCAATCTTAATTTAGTTTTACTAGTGTGCCTCCCTAATGGAAAGAGACATTTCTTTATTACGATGCATTAGGTTGGATTTCAGACGAAAGTCAGACTTCTTCAAAAGTCTAAAAGAATTTTTTGAATAGGAAGAAAGCTTGTTCCATTCCAGTGCCCATATACAACAGCTTTCAATTACAGCTGCATATTTAGAACTACCCCAGGAGATTTAAAACATACTGGTCCACACCAGATCTACTGAATTTTAATTTCTAGAGGTGGAGCCACAGATTGGTAAGTTTTAAAGCTCTCTAGTGAACTTACTGTGCAATTAGCTTTGAGAACCGCTATGAATGAACTCTCAGTTTATTGACTCATAAAAAATATCTCCTTTATTCTGAATATAGTGGAGTCAGTATAGCTTTCAAGTTTATCTTCCTTGAAAACTGTTATCAATCACTGCATTAAAATGTATTAATCTACATCATAAAATCAATTAAATAGTTAGTACATGGTAAGGTGGTATGCATTTTGCTTCATGCCTATTTCATATTTAACAGTCAATTGTCTTTTTAAAAATTTTTAAAGTATTTATTTAATTTCCAAGTTTTCATTCATTCATTCATTCTTTCACTCATTCAGTTTTTTAGGAGTGAGTGGGAGCATGAGCTCAGGGGCAGGAGGAGGGGATGGGGAGGAGTAAGGAGAGAGAGAGAATCTTAAGTAGGCTCCACACCCAGAGTGGAGCCTGACACAGGGCTTGATCTCATGACCCTGAGATCATGACCTGAGCCGAAATCAAGAGTCGGATGCTTAACTAAGCCACCCAGATGCCCCCAATTTTTTATTTAAATTCCAGTTAGTTAACATTCAGTATAATATTAGTTTCAGGTGTAGGATTTAGTAATTCATCACTTACATGCAATACCCAGTGCTCATCACAAGTTCACTCCCTAAGGCCCATCACCTACCTCCTCACCCACTTCCCCTCCAGTAACCCTCAGTTTGTTCTCTATAGTTAAGAGTCTATTTCCTGGTTTGCCTCTTTTTTTTTTTTTTAATCTTATGTTCAGATGTTTTGTTTCTTAAATTCCACATATGAATGAAACCATATGGTATTTGTCCTTCTTGGACTAAGTTATTTCACTTAGTATAATACTCTTTAGCTCCACTCATGTCATTGTCATGACATGTCATGACATGTCATGTCATTTTTTTTATGGCTGAGTAATATTCCATCACACACACACACACAAACACACACACACACACACACACACACACCACATTCTCTTTATCCATTCATCAGTTGATGGACATTTGGGCTCTTTACATAATTTGGCTATTGTTGATAATGCTGTTGCAAACATCAAGATGTGTGTATCCCTTCAAATTAATATTTTTGTATCCTTCGGGTGAGTGCCGAGTAATACAATTGCTGGATCACAGGGAGTTGTAATTTTAACTTTTTGGGGAACCTCCATGCTGTTCTCCAGAGTGGTTGCACCAGTTTGCATTCCCACCAACAGCGTAAGAGGGTTCCCTTTTCTCCACAACCTCACCAACAATTGTTGTTTCCTATGTTGTTAATTTTAGCCATTCTGACTGGTATGAGGTGGTATCTCATCATGGTTTTGATGTGTATTTCCCTGATGATGAGTGATGTTGAGCATCTTTTCATGTGTCTGTTGGGCATCTGTATGTCTTCTTTGGAAAAACGTCTATTCAGGTCTCTGCCCATTTTTTAACAGTTGATAATGTTAATAAAGTTATGACATAAGAATTAAACTAGTAATATCCAAATAATACTAATATTAAACTATGAAATAAAACATTTCATTTCACAGTGGCTTTGCGTTGTTATATTTTTATGAACAAATTCACTTGTACTCCCTCAGTGTCTGCCAGCTAAATAGTACAGGGACATTTACAAGGTGTTATTTGGTAGGAAGAGAATAACTGTTATTAAAAATCCATAAAATAGGGACGCCTGGGTGGCTCAGTTGGTTAAGTGTCCGACTCTTGATTTTGGCTCAGGTCCTGATCTCAAAGTCATGAGATCAAGCCTGGTTTTGGGCTCTACTCTGGATGTGGAGCCTACTTACGATTGCTTCTCTCCCTCTACCCTTGCCCCTCCCCTCATGCACAGGCACTCTCCCTCCCCACCTCTTAAAAAAAAAGAAAATCCATAAATATATCTATTCCAATACAGTTTTCTGGGTAATGGGCCAAAACTGCATTATCAGATGAAATGATAAAGACTACATTTTGCCCTTCAAACACAAGTTAGAAAGGACTAGGAAATCAGATAACTAAGTGGAGTGGGTGAACATGTAACTTACAAAAGAAAGCATGTGACTTAAATAAAATAAGCAGGCTTAAGTCTATATCACTGCCAAATAGTTTTAAAAATAAACTCCACAAAGTATAAAAAAGCTGAGTAATATGCAGTTAAAACCACCTCTCAAATAGTTTTCATTTCCATCTTGAAAATAAAAGCTTCAAGCACAGAATTCCATTGTAAATTGAATTTGGTTATTTCTGAGTCATGTGTTTGATTCCTTAGATTTTTTCATTTATAAAGAAATATTTGTCCCTTAAGAAAGCATTTGCAAAAATTAGTTGCATAAGACATTATTAAGGTATTGTTCAGAATGACATTTCCAAGTACAAAGATAAATATGAACGTTATCAAAGTCACACAGTCATTGAGATTACGTTGCTGCCTTGTTGGGAAGAGCTCAACACAGATGCTAGATTTCTTTTTAAACCTGACCTTCTATGATCAGAATTGGTCTGAAAACCGATGATTTCAAGTCTTAATTTATGTCGTTAGATAATATCAACATAAAGTTTCCTTTTTCCTACTAAGCTTAGGGTCATTGTTAGACCAAACCTTTAAGTTAAATGAGAGCCCTTAATGTCTTATGAAGAAAATCTATAGCAGTAAATTATATCCAAATATAAAGTCATTATATATTTATGATTAAATGCTTAATAAATGATGAACCATTTAATTGAGAACAATCCCATTATGTGCACATTAGGAACTTTTCTCATAAATCTGTTACAGAAATATTAGCCTTTTATCACTTGTACATCTTAGAAGCTAATCACATAGGAAAAGCAATTGTCTCGGACAGGTTTTGGGGAATGGAACAATCAGTTTAAACAGGTAGCTGTTTTTAATCCATTGGGCAATTATAGTTTATTTTGTTCTTTTACAGTTTTTAGAATAAGTAGAACAGTCTCTGCTTCCATTAACTTTAAATGTCTTGTTAAGAATGTATAATCAAACATTCTAGGGGCACAATTATGAACCATATGGAGGGTAGAGAAAATTGTTCAGGACTGGCACCGCCTCCAGACTTTCCTCGTAACTACTGGTATGACCTCGGGTTAAGTATTTCACTGATGTGGGCAGCTGCCCCATCTTTAAAATCTGGAGGTTTGGCTAGATCGACTCTAAGGTCACTTTCACTTCTCAAAATATCCTAAAGCTTAAATTTTGGTTTAGTCATGATGTGGTGTGAATAATGAAGAGGATAACATATTTCAATTTTGAATTCTGATTACAGGAATACTTACAGTTAAGGCTGATGGTCCTGGAGGTCCTGTATCTCCCTAAAATAGATTTTTAAAAGTTGCCGTTACTAATAATCTTTTCTTGCACATTTTATTTATAAGTGTTCTGAATGAACAGAAGCAATATATAGAAAAATTCTGAAGGAGAAAATAGAATTTCATCTTGATAGGAGTCTCTGCACAATGAAAAATGTATCATGTGCTTTAAACTCTCATGATATAAATATCACCTTGTGCACCCCCATGCTTTCTGCAGAACTTGTTTTGAAAAGCTAAAATAATCTAATTTTCTATTCTTTTGTCTACTAACCCAAAATTAGAAAGAATATCTCTTCAAATATGGTTACTTGCCAATGGAGCAGCTGGGAAGTGTCACAACGACAGATAATTTTTCTGACAAAGTTAGTATGAGGATCAGCAGAAATAATAAGTGCATCTCCCCACTTCATGCCTCCCAGCTGCAAGAAGCAGTCCCATTGCCTCTTACAAAGCTCTGCTAAACTGGCGTTGCACTTGCCATCAATTTTAAGAGGTTTTTCACTGACCTAAGTGAATACAAATTACCAGGTGGATATATTAAGAACCTTTTAAAAATCTTTACAAAATGGCTCATCTAAAAGTTTATTATTTTCTGTCTTATATGTCGCCTCTATGCTTTTTTGTATATCAGGACTCCTATTTATTTAATAAGAACTCTTAATCATTAAGATCAAAAATCATTGCTATAAGGCTATTTAGGTGGACATTATGGCGACCTTATACCTTGTGGTATGAAGCTCGGAGATACGTTCTCATGTTGAGAGTATCTCTGTAACTTTTTCTTTTCTCATCTAACATAGTCATCTCAAAAGTTAAGGATTAGTATTGAGTAATCATTACTTTTTGGAACAATTGAATAAAAATAGCCAACTCGTTAAGGAACATCGACATAGCTTAACTCGGTCACTGAGGACCAATTTGTAAGATAGATTTTAACAGAGAGATAAATACTGAAGCCAGACAAGGATTCCCAAATGTGCTCACAGTAGAGAACAAAATACAATATAAAACACCCGCACACATAATTCTCATCAAATCAGGATCATCCAATGACCTTATTCTGAATGACTCTTGCTTTTAGTACTTCTAAATCTCTTTTCAAGGTCACAGCCAATAGATCATTATAAAATGGCATGACAGAAAAATGGCAGGAAATAAAGCGTTCAGACCAAGACTGAGTTAAAAAGTTAACCTCCTTCCCCGCCAAAGGCCACCTGATTCACCATTATGGTAGCAGTTCAGTGCTACTGGCAAAGTTCCCTGATACAAGGCACAGTTGTTAATTTGGCAATGGAATAGCTAATGCTGTTAAGTGAGGGAGAGAAAGTGAAATCTTATAAACACAAATTAATGTCAACTAGCAGTTGTGCATTTAGTCTCTTCAAACTAATTAAATGAACCAAAAGGCTTTTCTTCAGATGCTTTTAACATAACAGCCTTTGGTTAATTTTAACAAAATTAACTTTTGGCAGTTAGAAAGTATCAGAGAAAAGTCACTGCATACATTCTCAGAGTTTTCGTAAGAAAAACTGGCACTTCTCAGGGTGAATACGATACCTTTTCTCCTTTTGGGCCAGGTGGACCACGAGGACCCAAGTCACCTTTTAAACCCTGTATGCAGAATACAACCAATGTAATTTCTATACACAATTCACAGAAAGACTGAATTTCTAACAAGTCATTAGTCACAAAATAAATCATAATTTACTGAACTCCCAACTCCCATTCTTCAGTTTGTAGTATAGAGAGAAAGAGAGACGACTGGCACTAAAATGATAAGCAACATCTGCGTTGTGGTGAGTACAGATACATTAAATCAGCGTGAGTCCTGAATACTGCATATTTGTGCAACTTTGTTTCCTGCTAAAATTACATTAATTCACCATCTGGGAGAACATCATTTAGATCTATATGAGCTTTTAAGTATCCACTTTGGATTAAATTTGTGGATGTTGTAAATACCTTTGATTTAGCATTGATTTGGCCTTTATAAAGCTTGCCAAAAAAATTCAAGAATTAAATAAAAAAACATTTTTATGTATCTATCAAGTAATCTAATTGTGAGGGAAAAATAAATGAAGGACATCTTCTTTCCCTGTCACTCACAGCCCGAAGCTACAACGTAGTCTCTTTCCTGTTTTAAAGTATTTTAGTTCTCTAGTTCCTATTTTTTTTTAAACCTGGATTTATAAAGATATTTAATCAAACTATATAAGACATAGAGTATCAGATAAGTATGTTCATGAATCTTCCAGACTCTTTGGTGTTTCAGTGGATATTTTGTTGACCAGACTCAGAAATGACAGCTCTCAGGAACACTGTGATAGATTTCAGGGGCATTCTACAGTTGAAGGTTTTCACAGTGTAAACAGAAAGAAAGTTAGATAGACATGTCCTGACTGTGTGCCAAATAGAAAAAAAATATCTTCCTTCATCCTTGATTTAACACGTTGGATGAGGGAAGAACAATCATGGAAAAAAGAAATATTCTGAAGCCACACAATGCACAGTCTATGTCCAGACGTCTTACTTTTCCTGGCTGAGGGATCCATCTCTCGCAGCACTGACATTTTGTAGTCAATAAACAATGTCAAATGCCAGCAGCTTTAACTACTTAATATAGAAGCCCATGATGAATTTCAAGAAATGAAGGAAAACTGGATACTTAAAATAATCTTGTAGAGGTTATGTGAAAACCGTCGTCTTACACCTTAAGGAAAAAGATTTAACAGATGAAAACAGCATGTGATTGGCAAAAAACACTTCACAACTATAGAAATACTTTTCAGGATGAAACTCATAGCTATGGGTCTTTCACTGTTACCTCAGAGTATTTCTAGAAAAAGGATGAGTGAAAAAATAAATCACATTTGATATGTGATATTCTCTTATTATTTGAAATAGCCTTTCCTTCCCAACTGAGCAAAATGAGACTCATCTGAATTGAGATGTGTTGTGAGTGTAAAACATATTAGATTTTCCATATCTAGTACAAAAAATGTAAAATAGCTCATTAATACTTTTTATATTGATTATATATTAAAATGATAATATTTGGATATATTTAATATATTATTAAAATTAGTTTCACATGTCTCTTTTTACTTTTTTTTTTTAATGTGGCTACTGGAAAGTATATCTAGATTTGTCTTGAAATTATATCATATTTAGAATTATACTATATAAGTATTACATTAAATAGATTCTATTTCTATTGGATAGTGCTACTTAGAGGTACAAAAACAAGAAGTTGACAAAAACTCTCTCTTTGTCCAAACTTTAGTCACACTCTTCCGAGTCTTTTCTCCATTAGGCCTCAAGCTTGGCCTCTGTCCTGTTCTGTCTTTGGCCTGCTTAGCCCAGTTTTAGCAGACTCTTGCTTAATCAGTTTAGAAAGAATCCCACACGTTTGATATCAGATCAAGTGCCTCATCTCTGACCTTTGACATGTAAGTGTTTGGCCTGCCTTCAGCAAGAATCCTATTAAGTTAGTTTCTCAAGAATCCTCCTACCCTTGAGGTCTGCTCTTAGTAACTATTTTCCATTCACTGAGCCCATCACTCTATTGGCCGTATCCCTCCCTCTCCTTGTTGTTTCTGGAGTTGAGCTCAATTTCTCTCCCTTTCTCTCCCTTTCTGCAATACCCCTTTTCGATTCAGTGTGAACAAAATTTTAATATAATGTTCATTATTGTAAAATTTTAAATAAATGTGAGAATAGTTTTTCCCTAACAGGGTCAAGATTCCTGCCCTCAGGGAATCATATTATGAGAGGAGGGTTGTCCTGCTGATAAACAGGACCACAGGCTGAATGTGATAAGAACGAGAGGGACAGAGCTGCTATTTCAACTGGGGTGATAAGAAACCGCTTCTGTGTGGAGGGGACATTTGTTGTTTCAAAGGATCCAGGCATGCAATGATCCAGGGGAAAAATACTGAGGTTAGAAGGCATAGCAAGCACCAAAGCTCCTAGGGTGAGCAGAATGTCATGAGCAGGCAGACAAGGAACAGGAGATCAAATCAAGTTTAGGCACAGGTCAATGCATATAGAGAACTAAAGGCCATGGTAAGGAGGCTGGTTTTCTTTGTTGTAAGTGGAATGGGGAAACTACTTAAATGTTCCAAGCAAAGAAAGGCCATGATGTGACCTTGTTTCAAAAAACATCACTTTGTCCACAATGTGAAAATAGATTGTAGGCAGCAAGAGTGGAAGCAGAAAAGAGACTGTCACAGTGTTGCAGGCAAGAGCACAGGATGGTTGGGGTGTGGGGGTGACACTGGAGATGGAGCGCAGTGGTCAGAGATTGCACATAATGGGAAGCAGGACATATAGATATGTTGGAAAAGGGGGCAAAGAAAAGACGGTGCCAAGACTTAAGTAAGTGATAGGATGTTGAACCATTTACTGGGCTGAGAAGTTTATTAAAAAAGATGTTTTCTTTGTGCTTCCTGATACAATACTATCCAGAGAAAGACAAATGAAGAAGAAATGTCTGAGAAAGATACCAAGTACCCATTTAGTCAACAAATATTGTTGAATATTTTCAAATACATAAGACTAAACTCTATGTTCTGGGCACCTGGGTGGCTCAGTTGTTAAGCGACTGCCTTCAGCTCAGGTCATGATCCCGGGGTCCTGGGATCAAGCCCTCTGTGGGCTCCCTGCTCTGCAGGAAGCCTGCTTCTCCCTATCCTTCTGCCTGCCACTCCCCCTGCTTGTGCTTGCTATCTCTCTTTCTCTGTCAAACAAATAAATAAAATCTTAAAAAAAAGACTATTAAATGTTAACAAAAATAATTTTAAAAAAGGACTATATTCTATGAACATATGCATATGAAAAGGTTATTGTTTTAAAAGGCAACATTAAACACAACATTCAGGAAAATGTTAACTTTGGGGTGGGGCATGAGGTTACACTGAGTTCTGGGTACAGTGGTGTCCCAGTTATTACTATGATTCATAATCATCACACATTACATGTTATAAAAATAATATCTCTAGGCATAAAATAATACACTAAGTTTTTTCAATATTCCTGCCTGACAGACTAACCCTAACTGCAACTTTTGGGAAGAACTTACTGGCAAATGAATCAGCTAACCATCCCTGATTGAATCAACCATGGTCAGGAAGCAGATGGGGAATAATGCAACCAAAGACAAGCTGATGTGAATACTGAATACTATTATGGAAATATATAGCAAGTGTGAAGGGAACAGTTCCCAGAGAGGCCTACATCCACTGGAGGTACCCAAGATTCAGAGATGCAGAGTTCAGGAGAGTCAGGAAAAGAGCAGCATTTTATGCAAAATCCTAAGTTGTTCAAGCTTCCCTATAAAATAGGTATAAATAATAGTTATCTTGAAGGCCTATTCTGAGAATCACAGGTTATAAAAACACTTAGTACCTGTAGGTACTTAATAAATGTTGCTTTTACTTTTCAAATCCAAGTTTAAGGGATAATTAATAGTTCATTCTGTTCAGGTTTGTACTCAGTTTGATGGATATGGAACCATTGTGCTTTAAGTCACACAGGATAAAATGCAATTGAGAAGTACTACATTTATCAAGCTTCTACTTTTATGGCCATTGAAGTGGGTCCATGTAACTCATGTCCTCTGACAAAGTACAATGTTTTTAAGGCCATGGCATCCTAATAAGCTCTAAGAAACAGATCAGTAATGCTTTTCTCAAGTGCAATTTTTCTCCTCCTGTCACACTGGTGCTGCTATCAATGGTTATCGAGTACGGGGGAGAAAAAGATGCAGCACTCACCCTAAAGCATAAAGAATCAAATGGAACAGACTATGAATTCAATATTGAATAAGATGGGAATCTATTATCAAGGTTCTCAATAAAATTCATGTATATAAAGACTCTCAAAAGCACAGTAGTTGACTCTGCACGTTATGTGGAGATAGGAACTCTTATCTAAAGGCAAGATGAAAACTGATGGACAGTATAATATCTAGAATTATAAAAGCAGGCAGACTATGAAATTAATTTTCCTGGACTATCTACTACTCATGGTAGGTAGCATCTTTAAAAATCAGAAGATACAATATTTGTTAAACAAAACAATATTTGCTAAAAAGAATTTTAACCATCAACTAATTCTTCGCCTCCTCTTCCCATTAACTGTACCTTGTTCCCGAGTGATGGCACCAGCTGTTACCAGCTGATAGCTCAGCTTTGTGATTTCAATATTTTTGCATTTAATAATACAGATTACATTGGTATAAGGAGATTAACAAGATTATTTTAGAAACATCAGATGCTGTAATTCTGATAAGGGATGTATGAAAGACAGTAATAAAGATGCACAGGAAGAGTCTAAACTCAATGATTGAAATCAACTTTCCTAAGATTATATAACCTCACCAAAAAACAAATGAAATGATATTTTTATTAGAGATAAATGTGTTTTATTTAACCCAGTTTCAAATAACAGTAAATGTTTACATAGCTCTTACTGTATGCAGACACTGTTCTAAATGCTTTATGCATAACCCTGTTTATCCTCAAACACAGACAAAAAAAGCCCTGAAGTGTTATTAACATTATCATCCCATTGTGCAAATGAAAACGGTGAGGCACAGAGGGAGTAAGTAATGTTCTGAGTGGTATGCCAGTTAGGCAGTGGCAGATCTGGGATCTGAGCCCGGAAGTCTGACTTTTAAAGGTTACATTAACAACTTTATAAGATTCCCTCTCAAGTCTGTTATAAGATGCATTTGTTGAGTATCTCTCACAGTAGGTCACAATCAAAATCATTTAATTATAAACTCAAATGTGTGTAAAATTGAGGTCTTGGTATTTTGAAGGCTAAATTCTAGCAGTTCGAATTTTTGACGACTTTAATATGTTTGGTATGCATTATCTACACTATAAGGGAAATAGGAACATGTATTTAGTTCAATAACTTTAGTCCAATACTCTAATACCTTGAAGATCAATCCAAAGTTTACATACACATACACTACCAAGGATGCTTTTAGAGACATCAGAGCAATTTTTTTTTTTTTTTTTTTGTCCTAATGATTAAAAACTGCTACATTAGTTGGTGAGCCTTTGGGGTGTTAAACATTCTGCTTTTGCAAGACAGTCCCATATAACAAAGAATTGTCTTACCCAAAATGGAAATAGTGTCCCACTGAGAAAGACTGAACTGCTGAATATTTCCCTGTAAATCAGGTTTACATTTTTCCAAAGTGAGTTTGCCCATTTTTTGAAAAAGTTGGCACGGAAGAAATTATTAAAAGATACATTTACATCAAGATATTTGTAATATACAAGAATAAAGACCATTAAAAAGGGCTTTTGGATTCATTTAGTAGGAATATTAAATTCTTCCAATTTTCTTTGCCTTGGAAAGTAGCTAGAGTGAGCTGGCCCACTGAGTTCATTCACTCTGCATTCTAACAGAATGTTTCTGAAGTTAGACTCTCCATCATGGCTTGACTTTAATTCAAATTGAAATCACTATTATAATGCCCTTCATTCCCTAAGAATGTGTACCTGTGCTTATTGAAAGGCAGAGTGAACTGTCATAAATGCTGAATGATTTTAATTTGCATAGTCAGTTTATTTTAGCATTGAAAAATAGGCAATGACAACTGTGGCATGATTTAGTGGGAAAATAAGAGACTTTATAGTCAAACACGGAGGGTTAAAAGTGGATTTTATCATTTTCTTAAAAAAAAAAATAGTCGCCTAATGTCCCAAGTCTTTATTTCTTGCCTCTGAAAACAGAGATTCTACCACCCCTGCTCTAGCTAGCCCATAAAGCTAGAGTAAGGATCACATTTCAAATTCCTTGTGGAAATCGTTTGTGAATGATAACACATTATTAACAGTTCCACCACTAATGATGTAATAGAGCATTTGACTCTCTATTCCTAGTGATAGTAGAGGGGAGAAAAGGAGAATTTTCATTACTTTTTCTTATTTCTCCTTAGTCATGACTTCTGAATATCTTTGGCAAAATTGAGAAAAGGAAAATAATATCATCTACATATCAATTAAGTAACAAAGAGAAAAGTTAATGTGCTTTGTCCTGCTTTATGATATACCTAATGAACTATATTAAACAATGATGGTACTAATGAAATGACAGCCCTGTGTTTGGGGGCATGCAAAGAACTCTTACAAGTTCCTTTCCAAGAGGAAAGGTCACACTGCCCACTACACTATGTGCTCTCTTAACAGGTTGGTCTTATTCAGGTTTGGAACCCTTACAATGGCTGCTGGAACATCTGGGCATGTAGCAGGCACTCAAATATATGTATTTATCAGTTGATTACTTCTAAAAAGCCAAACCACCTTTCTTGCAGAGCCATAAGAATAATTTCCAAGTCTCCAAGTTAATGTAGTAGACTTCAGAGTCCAACCCCTCAAATCTCCAGTTTCATTCAAGTGTTTGGATAAATTTCTCTCTATTTCAACTACAATGTTATCTTTTTAAAAAATATTTTTAAAAAGATTATTTATTTATTTACTTGTGAGAGAGAAACAGAGACAGAGACAGAGAGACAGAGACAGAGAAAGCAAAAGAGAGCACAAGCAGGCAAGAGGAGCAGAGAGAAGGAAGAAGCAGATGCCCTTGCTGATCAGGTAGCTGGCAGGGAAGCAGGGCTTGATCCCAGGACCTGCGGATCATGACCTCAGCTGAAGGCAGATGCTTAACCCACTGAGCCACCCACGTGCCCCTCCAGTGTTATCTTAATGAACTTCTAAATATCTTTGTTTTGTTCCTCTATCTCAGGGAGCCCACATAAATGCAGTTTGGTTATCTTTTGTAACACTATCATTAATTTCCTTCAACACCACTATATTTTTCACAATTAAAATCTTTCCCATAATGAATGGTCAAATTCTTGAGCTATTTTTGAGTTTTCAATGCTATCTAGTGCCAAACTGCATATATTTTATCACTGTAATAGCACTATCTATGTACTCCCTTCCATCCCTGTTATCCTACTTTAGGCTCTGATTACTTAGAGTTTAAACTATTATTATACTTCTTCAGTTTTTAAAATTAAAACTTGGCAAATAATTATTGGGAACTTTGAAAATATTCACTAAGTACTAGGGATTCCAAGAAATGGTCTTTGCTCTTGTGAAGGGTATGATAGGGAAAAAAAAAACATAGGCAAAGGCCCAAATTTTATCCATTTTGTGTAACAGTCAAACTAATCTTCATTTAAACACAGCTTGGAGGACGTCTCCCCTCCATCAGAGGAAGGAAGGCAAACATCCTTGTACACAGCACCTCCCATACTCTGGCTCCAGATGTATTCTGTTTTGTTATTTCTTCAACTCCTTACATGCAGCAGGAATTCCAAAAACCTGAATGGATGCTTTTCAAGTTTGTAATCTTAATAATCTCTTTGTATAAAATTATAGGACATCATAATGACTGGGACCTTAGACTCGACTCTAAGCCCATCCTTCACAGACATAGAAGTTATATTCTCAGCTAGTGACACAGTGGGCTCTGGTTTTCCACTCCAGAACTCTTACTATGATAACGGGTACCTCCACTGGTGGGGAAGGGAGGTGAATCAGATGCACAGTTCAAGTGTATGGACCAACAGTTGTGACATCCAATGTGTTGAGGCCTTGTAAAGAGCTAGAGAAGATGCAGAGATTTCCTCCAGCTACAAACCTAGGTACCAGTTCCCATCCTCTCATACAGAAAAATCACTTCAAAAGGAGAAGGAATAAGAATGAGAATCTTATTAAATATATAAATGGGACTTCTCAGGACGTAACAAGAGAGTAAAGTTGTGGGGGGTCAGAACCTCAATGCAGTGTTGACTATAGGGTTAATTACCAGGGTATTTCTCTTTTGGAGAAACCCCCTCCCCACACTCAGGTATTCCTCTTTGCCCACAAGCCCCAGGGACCATAGTGACCAGCGTTCCTTCTCACCATGGTGATCCACTGTATACAAGATGGATTTTGCAATGTCTTTAATGCATAAGGCGACCAGATCTAGTTTCCCTTTTTTTTTTTTTTAACCCATAAAGCAAGTGGTGTAGTGTAGCCCTTTAGAACTTTTCTAAAACATTTTTATGCAAGTGAAAAAGAAAACTGTGGGAACAAGTAATTCTCATGGTGGTCATTTTCCCTAGCAAAGTTAATGTAGCTATAGTAAATGGTGATTTTGATTAACAGAAGATTAGTCTATATTTCAGAGAAAAATCCAGATTTAGGATAATTTTCAAGTTTTATCATAAGAATCAAAGTGAAGCTCAGGGAATGGGGGTCGGGGGGTGGGGAGTGTCATCCTAAGGGAAAGATGAGGAGATGCTAGGACATCAGAGGCTGATGACCTGGTGCAGTGGAAGGGGAGGGAGACAGAACTACAAGTCTCCCCTCCCCGTCGTCTCCCCTTCTTTTCATCATTGCAATCCCATCCATGCAGACCCTTCATAGAGGGAACTTTGGTATAAGATGAAGAGCGACCCTGGGTAAGAACACAGACCACGTGAGAATGTATGTAAGAAGAATAAAGATAGAAGAAAACCGGAAAAAATGCAATCCAGAAACAACAACAACAAAAGCACTGTTAAGGATGACAGGATATAAAATATGTAAACCCAAGGAACGACCCATAATGGCACTAAAAACACAGAGCCATGCAAAAAACTGCCTTGATTCTTGATTTTGCCTTGATTGTGGCTAGTTCTTCCATGCACAGTAAAGTGTTACTACCCTTAGATAGTCAATATATTTCCGTGGCAAAATGTAAACAGAATATTAGAAAAAAAAAAAAAAGTTAGGCTTACATTTTGTCCATTAATGCCAGCCAGACCTGGATCTCCTTTTTCTCCTTGTTCACCCTAGAAAGAAACAATTTATACAATGAAAAAATGTTATAGCCTGAGAACCTTTACTAAGAAAAAATAAGAATGTTACATTGTTGGGCATTTATAACAATGTGATTACTTTGCTAATCCCTGGAAAGAAACATTTATTAAAAAACAATTCTGAGTCCTAAAACCAAAGGGAAGTTTAAAGGTTCAAAGAAAAGCTGTATAAAAATGATTAAAGGGTAGAAATTGAACAGGGATTATTTATTTCTTCTATATGCAACAAGGAACTTTCTGGAGGGCAATTTGGCAATATATATCAAGAGTCTTAAATCTGTTCATTTAATTTGGCCCAGTAATTCTGCTTCTAAGAATGTAACCTAGGGAAATAGAGATGAAAAGTTTTAGGCACTAAATTGTAGAGTACACTGCTATTTATAGCAGTACAAAAAAAGAAACATCCTAAATGTACAATAATAGGGAACTGATTAAATAAATTATGGTATATAGATATAATGGAATATAATGCAGTCATTAAAATCATGTTTATAAATTGTATATACTACAGGAAAATCCTTATGATGTAAAAAGTAAGATACAATTAAGGGATTGACAAATTCAACAAATAAATGTTAACAAATACCTGTTTTTTAACTTTAAAGTTACAAATGTTCAAAATGATCACTTATACCAATTTTTTATGATACGTACCCATAGTGACATATATTTTTGTTTGATTATCATCCGAAGTATGTATACTTTTATAGGCAAATGCTGCACATGTGTAGCATAATTCAAAAACAATTAAATACCTATTTATCTACGCATCTACCTCTCTACTTGCCTACCAACTTATGTATCCACCTACTGGAAGAAGAAAAACCAGATCAATAGAAGCGGTTAATCTGTGGATTCTGTGATCATGGCTGATTTTTTTTCCCTTTACTATGTTCTTCCTTTTCAATTTTTTAAAACAATAAATATACATTATCTGTGTAATCAGTAAAATGTCTAAAAATAAAAGAATATATTAGGCATATAAAGAACTCATCCAAGTTGCCAGGCCCATCATGTAACACAGTGTGTGTGTGTATATGTGTGTATGTGGTAATATTTGTAGTAATCTCTGCTTTGTGTCACTAGGATGATATTTTATCCTCTTTATTCTTTTGTCCCTCTTCCTTCAGTTTTTTCTTACAATGAACACTATTATTTTTATGAGCATTTTTATGAGGATAAACAAGAGTGTATACAAACACATTCAGTAAAATAGGTTCAAGTTAGAATAAAGCTGAAAAATTTAAACTGAAAATGGAAGGGCAAGGCAATACTCTAGAACTGTGCTGGTCAATGTGGTAGCCACCAGCCACATGTGGCTATTTACATTTAAATTAATTAGGATTAAATAAAATCTAAACACAGTTCTTCAGTTGCTCTAGCCACATTTCAAGTGCTCAATGGTGCCTACACTATTGGACTGTGCAGATCAGAACACTTCTATCATTACAGAAAATTCCACTGAAGAGTGCTATTCCAGAGGATGTCATATAGGACAGAAAGTAAATAAGAATTAAGAAGCTCAGAAATACACAGAAGAAAATATCTATCTAGTAAGGGGATAAAACACAACATGGTGTCTATGTGGTGACACATATGTGTTCAGCACATGTTAATAGAACAAACTGAAATTTTTGGCACAAGGAGACAAATCTAATTCCATGGATATGTCATCATTAACTTTCACAATGTAACTAAAAATGAATATAATCTTTATTCAAAATCAATGGTATTCCCAGGAGGAAAAAAAAAGGAACTCTAAAGAGGTATGTGCGAGTGGAGGTAAGATGGTGGAGGAGTAGCAGACTGAGATGACATCAGATCCCAGGAATTCAGCGAGAGAGTTATCAAGCCATTCTGAACACCTACAAACTCAACAGGAGACAGAAGAGAAGAGCAGCAATTCTAGGAACAGAAAGTCGACCACTTTCTGGAAGGTAGGATGTGTGGAGAAGTGAATCCAAAGCCTTGGGAAGATAGACTGTGGAGGGAGGGGCCGGCTCCCAACAAGCTACGGAGCCCTGGAGCACAAAATCAGAACTTTTAGAAGTCTGCTCCACTGAAGGATCAGAGGCTAAGCGGAGGTGGAGCCCTTATGGGGACAGTGTGGTCTCAGGTCCTGTGGGGTCACAGAAAGATCGGGGATGTCTGAGTGTGGCAGAGCTCCAAGGTATTGGAGCAGGGAAGCTGACTACAGAGACAGAGCCGAGCAGTGGGCACTCAACTCGGGGTTACCTTAAACCATGATCTCAGGCACAGTTGGGCCACCACTCAAGTGGCAGATCTGAGGAGACTCACATTCCTCCTCTGGAGGAGCAGCATGGCAGGAATCTGGTGGGTTTGGAGACTCCAAACGGGACTGTGCGACAGAGATAGAAACACTCAGTCACAGGCTGGGTGAGCTCTGAGTGTGGCAAGAGACCAGGCAGACGGGAGTGATTGACCCCTTTTCTCTGAGGGTGCACTGAGGAGTGGGGCCCCAAGCTCTTGGCTCCTCTGGGCTGGAGATTGGGAGGCCGTTATTTCATTCCAGTCCTTCAGAACTCTACGGAAAGCGTTCAGGGAAAAAAAAGCTCCTGAGTGAACCCGAGCAGATTTCTTAGCCTGGCCCCTGGCAAGGGTGGTGCAATTCCACCTCGGGCAAAGACATTTGAGAATCACTGCAACAGGCCCCTCCCGCAGAAGATCAGAAAGAACATTCAGCCAAGACCAAGCTCACAATGCAAGGAAAACAGTGAAACTCCGGAGCTAGGGGAAAACAATACATGGAATTCATGGCTTTCTCCCCATGATCCTTTAGTTTTGCAAAGTTAGATTAAATTTTTTTAATTTTATTTTTTTCTTATTTTATTTTTTTAAACTTTTCCTCTTTCCTCTTTTAATGTTTTGCAACTAGTTTATCTTAACAATACATTTCTAAAAAAAATCTTTTTAAACCTTCATTATTATAGTCATATTTTATCCTTCATTGTATTTAGGCTTTTTTGTACACATATGGGGTTTTTTTGTTCCTTCTAAAAAAATTTTGGATACAATTTCTGCTAATAGATCAAAATATAACCTAAATCTAACATATGGCTTTGATCTAGTCTCCAGCCTGAGCACATTCTCTCCTCATCTTTTCTCTTTCTTTTTCCAACCAATTTATCTTATTAATTACTTTTTTAGAATTTTTAAAAAAATTTTTCATCTTTACAGTTATATTCCATCCCTTCATCATGTTTACCCTTATTTTTGTATATATATAAGTTTTTCTTTCTTTAAAATTTTGGGAGGTAGTTTCTTCTAAGAGTCAAAAATATATCTCAAATCAAGTGTGTGGCTCTATTCTATTCACCAGTCTAAAATATAAATATAAATATATATATATATATATATATATATATATATATATATATATATTTTTTTTTTTTTTTTTCCTCTTTACCCTCATTCTTTTCCCCTTGATTTGGGGTCTCTTCTGATTTGGTTAGCATACATTTTTTCTGGGGTCTTTGCTACCCTTTCAGTATTTTATGCTTTTGTTCATATATTCTTATCTGGATAAAATGACAAGGTGGAAAAACTCACTACAAAAAAGAAAGCACAAGAGGTAGTACCGACGGCTAGGGACCTAATCAATACAGACACTGGTAATATGTTAGATCTAGAGTTCAGAATGACGATTCTCAAGGTGCTAGCTGGGCTCGAAAATGGCATGGAAAATATTTAAGAAACCCTTTCTGAAGAAATAAATCCCTTTCTGGAGAAATAAAAGAACTAAAATCTAACCAAGTTGAAATTAAAAAAGCTATTAATGATGTGCAGTCAAAAATGGAGACTCTTACTGCTAGGATAAATGAGGCAGAAGAGAGAATTAGTGATACAGAAGGCAAATGACAGAGAATAAAGAAAGTGAGCAAAAGACAGACAAACAACTACTGGACCATGAAAGGAGAATTCAAGAGATAAGTGATATCATAAAATGAAACAATATTAGAATAATTGGGATTCCAGAAGAAGAAGAAAGAGAGAGAGGGGCAGAAGGTATATTGGAGTAAATTATACTAGAGAATTTCCCTAATATGGCAAAGGGAACAAGCATCCAAATCCAGGAGGCACAGAGAAACCCCTCAAAAATCAATAAAAATAGGTCCACACCCCATCATCTAATAGTAAAACTTATGAGTCTTAGTGACAAAGAGAATAAACCTAAAAGCAGCTCAAGACAAAAAGTCTGTACCATACAATGGTAGAAATATTAGACTGGCAACAGAGTTATCCACAGAGACCTGGCAAGCCAGAAAGAACTGGCATGATATATTCAGAGCACTAAATGAGAAAAATATCCAGCTGGGAATACTATATCCAGCTAGGCTATCATTGAAAATAGAAGGACAGATAAAAAGCTTCCAGGACAAACAAAAATTAAAAGAATTTGCAAACACCAAACCAGACCAATACATGAAATATTGAAAAGGGTCCTCTAAGTAAAAAGAGAGCTGAAAGTAGTAGAAATGAAAGGAACAGAGACAATATACAGTAACAGTTACCTTACAGGCATAAAATGGCACTAAATTCATATATTTCAAGAGCTACCCTGAATGTAAATGGGCTAAATGTCCCATCAAAAGACACAGGATATCAGAATGGATTAAAAAAAACAAACCCCATCAATATGCTGTCTAGAAGAAACTCATTTTAGACCCAAAGACACCTCCAGATTTAAAGTGAAGGGGCGGAAAACAATTTACCATGTTAAAGGACATCAAAAGAAAGCTGGGGTAGCAATCCTTATATCAGATAAATTAGATTTTAAGCCAAAGACTATAATAAGAGATGAGGAATGACACTATATCATACTCAAAGGGTCTGTCCAACAAGAAGATTGAATAATTTTATATATCTATGCCCCTAACATGGGAGCAGCCAACTATATAAACCAATTAATAACAAAACCAAAGAAACCCATTGACAATAAAAAAATAATAGTA